TTAGTTTTGATGATTTTTTATAAAGTCTCATTCTTTTCTTCTTACATGAAACTCTAAGATTCTTAATATTTCAAAAATACAATTTCCTTTAGTTTAAATAAAAAAACATAGTCTTAATACTTTCATACCAAATATCTTTAAATTTAGAATTGTCCTTCGTTATTAAAAACTTTTACTTAAATTTACTATAATATTTATAAACATAAATATAGTCATTTAAAGTTAAATTCTAATATCCAAGGTAATAAATTAATTTTAAAAATATAGTTAATTCAGGACAAATAAAATTTAGTTTATTTATTTTTAAAAGAAATTTTTCTTTCCCCTAAACTTAAATTTTTAAATATTTTATACTTAATTTCATAAAATGTAGCAGGAAGAATAAGTAAAAGTTGAATCTATTAACTACTACAATATTCTATCAAATTCATATACGTGCATAATCAAGATAGAATGACTACAGGAGAAAGTAAATCTAGCCTAAAATATGCTTGCAATAATATTAAACTAAAAGAAAGTATACTAACTTTTAAATTTATTTTTCTTTTTACCCACAAACTTGATTTTAAACATGTATAACATTGAATACAAAAAATATAAGGAGGAAGAAAAACAGTTCAGGAATTCTATCTATCACAAACATGTATAAGTATTCATCAGGACAGAACAATATGCAATAGAAAGTAAGTTGATCCGACTGTTTGTTGTGATAGATTGTGTAAAATTTAATTAAATGTAATCAATTAATAGGAGATGGGCAATAGTTTCCTCATCAGCAAGACAGAAAAAAGATCTAGAGGGACCCCTTAGGCCTTTCAATGTCAATATATCATCAGTGGGAATCATTTTTAAGAAGAGTCTCCATATAAAAAATGACATGGAGGGAGTTAGAAATTTATTCCAAATTATTTGACCCCAATCCACCACCTGTTGGGGAGGCTGAGAAGATAGTAGGTTCTTTTTTATAGCAATTCTGTCCTTTTGCCCAAGGTTAACAGAAAGTTTCAGAATATTAGAGATTTGAGAAGGGCTGCAAAAAGGAAGAATAGGAGTAAGATTCCACTTATCATGTTCCCAGAGGTCCTTGACAAACTTTGGAGAGGTTGGAGTAAATTGATCATTCAAAAGATTGCCTTCCAAAGACCAGTTATCCCACCATATGTTAACCAATCCCTCACCAATCTCCCAGACATACATTTTTCAGCTTCCTCCCTAATCAGCAACATCTTTTTCCAAATGGGGGAATCCCCCAAACCCACAAATACATGGGTAGGGTGTTGATGCTTGCAATATTTTCCCCCCAAGAACTCAGCCCAAAGTGAGGCCTGAGATCTGAATTTGATCTAGAGTTTGCAAAGGTTAGTATGCATAATTTGGGGGAAGGACTTGAAGCCTAACCCTCCTTCCATAAATGGTTTACATACCTTAGCCCAATTAGTCCAATGTTTTTGCTTCCTTTGACCAGCCCATAGAAATCTACTGAAAATTCCTTCTAACAGTCTTTGAGTAGAATTTTTCAGAATATTCATTTGCAGTAGATATGAGGAAATAGCAGATAAAAAACTTTTTAAAAGTGTTATACGACCCCCATTGGATAAAAAGGAATTCTCCCATGCTTGAAGCTTGCTTTGAATCTTTTCTAAAATGTGATCAAACTGAGAGTTTTTTGTTCTTCCTTTGATGCATGTGACACGTCTATTAATGAAAATATAAGAATTATGTTTCAGACACACCATTATTCTTAAATTATTAAAAATACATAAATAATTTAAATAAAAAAATATTAAAAGTTATACAAGAGAGAAAACAAAAAATTTTAATAACGCAAACTTTTATAAATTAAGAGTCTGTTTGACATCATTTTTCTTGCATGTTTTAGTTGATTTAATTATTATTCATTAAAAGAAATAAAATTTCCACTGGCTTTTTAGGCATCAAATTCTTATTTATTTACATATCTGGCATCTCTATTTCGATTTTGATATTTATGACACCCAAATCCTATATATCACTATTTTGAAATTAAAAAAAAGGGAAATACACATTTTGATATATATATTTATACACACACAGTGTTTCTGTGTGTGTATAGATGTTAGATATGCAAATATATAAAATTTTAGTTTTTTGTATGTTAATTTTTCTTAAATTTAACATAATATATACATTTTTAAATTTTAGCCTTAAGAATATTTTATTTTTTTGAATTCATTAATTTATGATACACGTGTCTAACACGTGTGTTCCACGCATATCCTGCGCTTGTCCTCTTTTTTAATATTATTTAAATTGGACAATTCTATGTTGTGTCTAAAACTTGTCAGACCGTGTCCTACACAATTCCGACACTGATGGACTCCGTAATTAGAAGTGTCTGTGCATCATAAGATGCTCACAATCTCCCTCTTGTCCTCTTTAGGTGCTTCACAACTCTACTTGCTCACACAATTTTTTTCCCTTCTACTGTGTCCCTTGGACGCAAACTCTCATGCTTGCTATTTGCTCAAATGAGGCTCGACTTCCTCCCTTCTCACTTGATCTTTTACTATTGCTTGCCCGAGCTACAATGATCGGTCATGAACCCGCAAGGCTGTCACAGTTATGGTTTGACATATTATAATCTGCCCAGGCCTGACTTCCTCAACTCACCATTCTCTTTCACTTGATGCTTGTCGCTCACCCCTAGTTTAGTCACTCACCCCTAGTTTTGTCACTCTTGGCTTCGCTCGAGCTTGTGTCAATACCTTGTTTGCCCCTAACTCATGCTTATGTTCATTTTTACTCGCAATCTGTGTGACCACCTCATCCCGCTTGCTCCTTGTCTCTCTCTCTCTCTCTCCATCTCTCTCAATTCTGCATCCCTCTCTATCTTTAAAATCGTGTGGCTCGCAACTCTCACCTCCTCTTTGTCTTTCAAGCATAATAACACGAACCAGCCTGATGTTGATTCAGTTGAAATATCTTTGAACTGATGCTAGTCAATCTAGAAGAGAAGAAAGCTTATGCTTTCTTGTCAAACATTGTATATGAAGATATTTTTGTCCCTTACTATTATGTCTTTCAATGGTGCGGAAGGCGATTACTTTTTGTGTGAATATGTAGAGTTAGGAGATGGTGGATGAAGACTGAAAATTAGATGTAGTCGGATCCTTCATAAAATTAATCATAGCTATTGGCCATAATTTAATTTTTTTAAGGAGTGGAAAACAAAAATTAAAGATGCAATTGGATAATGCTTTTTCTTAAAACATTGATCTTATGTAAGGGAAATATTTTTCAAATGATTTAAACGGGATGCATTAAATTTGCCCTCTGTTATATATCCTTATAAACATATTAATAAACAAGCTTGATACAAAAATTAATGAAAACATGAAACGAAGAACTGACCTCATGTTACATTAATCATAATGATGATGTGATTATAGGTGAAACTGTGAGTTGGCAATAACAACTGTATGCTTTCTTAGCCGGCATTATATGTCATTATGTTCGAATGAATTGATGGTAGCGTTTTCATTGAGGTTTTAACATACCGAAAAGGCATAGGAAGTACTTAGTTTGGTCTCCAGGGATTTTTCTTGCTTCTTATTGCTTCTTTCCTACACTTTTATATTATTAATATCTGACCCAATATTGAATGTAAACTCCTAATATATCTCTAATCACATCTTCAACTGTTAAGATGAATTGAAACTCCTTTGTTTGGAATGCCGCATCAGAGACTACAATTTCAGAATTACGTGTGAAGTTTTTTCTATTTTGTGTGGGGAGATATCTCCAAGTATTATAAATTGTGCTAGCTATTTAAATCTCAAGAATCATGACTTGTGGTGGTATCTCAGGAATTGGATTCCTGATTTTGGAATGCTTGCAATTTGCTTCAAATAGTTTGCAGAGAAATCTCGAGTGGCTATTTTAAGATGTTTGTATAATGTTTGTTTAGCCAGAAGCCAATTATTGGATTTTGTAGGCTTCATGACACATCCTATGGGATTAGGGTTTTATGTTGGATGAAGTTTTCTCATTTATTGTTGGTATGCCTTTATTGCTAGGGGAATCCTTCAAGCTCAATGTTTGTGAACAGGTTTTATTTAATTGGTTAAGCATATTATTCTTAGCTTGCTCATTATGAAACATGAATTGAACAAGAATAATGAAATTTACCAATCCGAACAAGAATAAGTTCTATTAGTTTATGTGCATCTTGTTTATACCCCAACTACGAGTGGCATAGGATTTTTTAGAGTGGAGACTAAAGATTGGTGCATGTGAGAATAAAGACTTCATCTGAGTGTGTATCATTAACCATGTTCTTTCTTTAAGTTGTGTATGAGTTTGCCTGGGTTTTAGGATTAGTTGTTATCCTTATCATGCGCACTGCTTTGGCTTCCATTTTAGTGAAAGCAAATGCTCGGTTTTAGGATTAGTTGTTATCCTTATCATTCGCGCTGCTTTGGCTTCCATTTTAGTGAAAGCAAATGCTCTCTTTTCTTTTGTAGATATAGATTTTGCTGAAGTATAACCACACATATTTTGTTTTGTGCTTGTTATAACTGTCTTGATCGGAGTGATACTTCAACAGTAATGTTTTGGTGCCCTCATTACAGTAGCCCACCAACCAAAATTTCTTTCTTTCGTTATTTTCCACTACACATCCATTTTCATATATTTCACTTCAACTAGCTCACACCCAAAGATCCTCTATTGGAAAGTGGTGATAAAAATCATATTAGGAATTCCTCAATACGAGAATGATCAGTTTCCATTCATCATGCATTGTGATGCGCATGATTGATAAATCCATCATTGGTCATGATAAATAATTTCTTTGTAGAATTTTGGTAAGTTTCGTGAAAAATTAAAACTTGGTTATTTATAAAATCTCAAAGAGTTTAATAAAATTTCAACCTATACTTGTTTAGCTTTCATTAAATTTTCAATGATTTGATTATGAGATGGTGCGAATTTATGGTTGATTCCTTTTTTTTATGTATGGGATTTAGTAAACTTTTGGTTGTTACATGGGCAATTTTTCTCATAATTTTGTCAAGAAGAAAGTTTGGGAGCATCTATCTTCTCGATGTAAGACTAACACATTTGTTTCTCCAAGTTTTAAGCTTAAAGTAAGTTGATTCAAATTTTTTAGATTAGTAATGTACTGAAACATTGGGTCTATAATGCCATAATTTATGATTATTCTAAAGCTACTGCTTTAACAGAGCGTGCTTCCATTGAGAACCATGTTTCCAGGGATGGATTTGACTAAGATGGACCCAGGGACTCTTACGCTTTTGGGCGCAGCTTGTGGCGTGATGTTGACCATGCATTTTACAGTTCAGCTGCTATCGCAACATCTTTTCTTTTGGAAGAATCCAAAAGAACAGAAGGCGATAATCATCATAATACTCATGGCTCCGCTGTATGCTATTGATTCCTTCGTTGGTTTGCTTGATATACAGGGGAGCAAGGCCTTCTTCACATTCTTGGACTCTGTTAAGGAGTGCTATGAGGCATTGGTAAGGCCATTTTCTCTTCTGTGCTATACAACATACTTACCTTTCAAGGAATGATTCCAGCAAAATTAATTTATAATTTAATTGTACAATTTGCAGGTTATTGCCAAATTCTTGGCTTTGATGTACAGTTACCTTAACATCTCACTAAGCAAAAACATAGTGCCTGATGAAATCAAAGGAAGGGAGATACATCACTCATTTCCTGTTTCTCTTTTCCTGGTATGCCTTCAACTTCAATAGCCAAAGTGTTTCGATTTTTTTTAATAAAGTCAGAGGTAGACCTAAAAGGACTTGAGCATGTTATATAAAAAATGATCATAATTTATTAAAATTATATGAAAATATGACACTCAATAGGACACAATGATGAAAAAGGATTCATGTAGCCCCTTGTATTTTGTACGTGATATCTTTTATCTTTGCATCCCACCCTTGTCTTTGCATTTTACATCCCCTATATTCTTAGGATTGCGTAGGAGATAGGGTTTTTTCTGTTAGTTAGTTATTCAATCGATTTTAATTTTGCATATCTTTCAATTGTGTTAAATGGCTCCGAAAAAAAGAGGCATTGCAGCCGCTCGTGGAAGAAGAGTCCCATAGAGCTACTATAAGTGATGTGCCCATTCCTAGGGGTCTCCGCTCCGCTAATCACAATCGTGTTGATCCAGCTCAAACCATTGTGACTGTTGGAGTACAATATCTCAATATGGCGACTCTCATGGAGGTGTGTCGGCCGTTTTAACTTCGTGATTTGAAAAAGTGGTGATTTTGTGATTTTGAAAATAATTTAAATATGAATAGTGGTGATTTTGTGATTTTGATTTTTAAAAGTAACATTTTAATTTTAAAAAAAGTGAGACCAAACGGGTCTCACATTTTAAATAGTTGAATTTTAAAAGTAATATTTTAATTTTAAAATAGGTGAGACCAAACGGGTCTCACATTTTAAATAGTTTAGATGATTGAATACAATACTATAAGTAATATACTTATCCCGAAGAAATAAATATATCACTTGTAATAAAGATTCAATCACCTAGACTAAAGAATTTGTGACATCCGTTTTGGTCTGCGAAATATTTTTATAAAAAGGGCAACAAGTTCTCCCACCTAACATAAAAAATTGAATAGTATTTATTTTATCCGGGTTCCAGGTTCCCTATAGAGGTAAGCCCCTATAGTTAATTACATCTTAAATGACTGAGGGTCACTTAAAAACACTCAAAAACTCTCGATTAAGATCAGGTGGTTTTGCCTTCAAGATTTCAAAGTTTAAGTTTTCACGATTGAATATCGGAAAATTAAATGAGAATGACTTAAAATAGGAACTATTATCTTAAGAAATTTAAAGGAATGAATAATAGGAGACGTCACAGATCCAGGAGAAACCCTGGGGATGTCCCAACTATCCAAATGTTCGGCTTTATGTTTTTTGAAATGATGTAATTTGATATTTCAATCTTGCAAATTGTTTAGGATTTAGGACTTATGTTTATACAATATTAGACTGTGCAAATAGCCTAAAAAGATAGGAGGATTTACACCGTACAGCACGGTAACCTCGGAATCCTAAATTGTTAGGACTTATAATTACACAACAGGGTTGTGCAAAAATCCTAAAAGGTGATCCTATGGGTTATTTAAACTAAATAGGGTGATAGGTGATGTGAAAAATGTGATGTGTTTTGATGTTTTACTGTTACAGATCCACCTTGAAGTTGTTCCTCGTCTGCCCATGATGTTCGCTCCAAGCTCTTCGTAGTAGCAACTACTGGTTTAGTGTTAATTCTATACAACCACTAGGTTTTCCTAAACTAAGACATAGTGTGTATCAAAATAATTAAACATGCAGTATAAAAAAAAGAACAGTATAGTGTACAGTAGAAAGAAAAGACAGTATAACATTCTGAAAGAAGAGTATAACGTACTAGAAAGAGCAGTATAACATGTTAGGAAAGTAATATAGCATGCTAGGAAATAAATAAAAAAATGCTGCAAGGTAAATCACACCTGTAAATTTGAGAAGTCTACTGCTCCTTTAAGCTAGCTATTATTCACTGTATAATAATAAGTTGTTTGGAAACTTCGAGAAAATCGACGAATAAATCCACGACGAAAGATTCGGAAAATTGAGAAATAATAATAAAAAATCTCGGGAAAATCCCGAAGAAAAGACCACGGGTGCTTTGTTCAAAATTCCAAGAAAACATACGAAAATCCGAAAAGAGGGGACCGCAAGCACTCGGGTTGGGGCTAGACTCAAATATATATTTGTACTCGAAGGTCATCGAAGGCTACTCGGTCACCCGGATGCGTAGAGCCCCCGACACTCCATTAGAAGAATTTCCTATTGAACCTAACTTAGGAGGGTATTCCTTAGCCCATGATCGGCAATCAGCAAGTGGACAACCTAATTTGTAACATATTTTAAAATTTAAGTTTTAACATGCATATGTATTTCAAGCATACAAAAGGAAAATTGTTTTAATTTTGATTTTTATAATGAAAATATTTTTATAACTATTGTATTTGTCCTTATCAATTTGTTTTATTAATTTTGAAAAAGAAATGGTTGTCCACAAGTCGATTACGTCACCGAGCCTAGGACTACCAACAACCTGAGAAGGTACGGGTCCCTCTATAGTCTTATGTCGGTGAATGATACTTTCATCCTACAGTTCATCAGGTCTCAGAATTGAGTCCTGGTATTGTAAGATGAGATATCATTCTACTTTACCACCGGCATGCGTTTGTCATCATCGCTCATCGCCCTACGCCCCAAAACAAAACCGACTTACTTGCGACCTTGCTTGATGGTTTCACATATAGCAAAAGGCTATACATGAGTACTTATGTATCAGACATAAGCACAGAAAACCTAACTAAGAAGCAAGGAAAGAAAAGAACAAAAATGGGGATGAAAGAGAGGAGAAACTGATCCACCCAAAAGATCGAAGGAAAAATGGTAGAGCAATCGTCAAAGTCATATAAAAAAGACTTAAAAAAAGAGCCCAAGATCCTTGAACCAATCCTAAAAGGATATTATTTTCAAATGACAATTTTATGAATTTCCAAACCATTTTATGAATTCAATTTATATTAAATTCATAATTTATCAAAATAGAGTTTCAAGAAATCTTCATATGTCATAAAACGAGAAAAGCTAATCCATAAAAAAAATAACTTTTTAAATCTCCAAAAGCGATGCCAATACCAATTCCAACTTTAATCACAAGCTCTTTTCCCTTTTCTTTTACATCTCATTAAAATGAAATTATTATTGTAAATATCCATGACCAAGGCAATAGAAATCACAACCAAGCTCCAATTCCAGCTGACGGGTATAAGCCAAAAGAGAGGAGGCAATAAGAATCACAGCCAAACTCCAAATCCAACTCACGGGTATGAGCCAAAAGAAAGGAGAACTCACGGGTAAGGCAACCGGGCTCACATCCAAAACCCAATTAGCTTAAGGGTAGGAGCTAAAAGAGGAGGAAAGCTCACGGGTAAGACACAAGAATCACAGCCAAGCTCCCAATTAACTCACGGCTAAGGTAGCAAACCAAAACCACCAAGCCATCTTCTCGGCAAAGACAACAGACCAAAGCCACCACAAAAAATAGATCTATGAATAGGGGCAGCAAGAGGAGGACCATAAATGTCATAAACATCAAATACGGCTCACATTAAACATTCCCACATAGTAGTGCATATCGGAATTTATGAAATTTAGGATGACAAACTTGATTACCCACAAAAATGTCAAATGGAAGCGTTATTTGGATATCTTCCACACATATGGAACCCAATTAAAAGGGACAACCCAATCAATTACTTAGGCACAATGAACTCAGCAAAAGGAATAGAACAAAGAGCTGCACAAGCACATCCAAGTCCCAAGTAGTAAGGATAAGGTATCAGTCCAACATAGGAATAGTCAGATCCAACAAAACAACGAGATCAAAACCCAGAATAAATACGCATTGTCTCGGGCAAAGGGGGCCACAGAAACAAAGCCAAGCCCCAACAAACCAAGCTCCATCAGGGAACAAACACCTAAAACCGAGTCCAAGAAAAGGGCAAACCGAGCTCAAGGAATGGACCAAACAGTAAAGGATTACAGCTAACATAAATCTCCAAAAGGAGCCCAAACCGAGCGTAAAAAAAGGGCCAACCGAGCCCAGCACAAGGGGCAAACCAAGTCTAAGAAATGATCCAAACTGTAAAGGATTTCAGCCAACATAAATCTCCAAAATGAGCTCAAACCGAGCCTAAGAAAAATGGCAAACCGAGCCCAGCACAAGGGGCAAACCAAGTCTAAGAAATGATCCAAACAGTAAAAGATTTCAGCCGGATTTCAGTCAACATAAATCACCAAAAGGAGCCCAAACTGAGCCCCAAGAGAGGGGCAAACCGAGCACAACAAATGGGCAAAACCGAATCTAGCAAAAGGGAGCCCAGCAAAAAGGAGCAAAACAGAGAAGTATTCCGGATAGATCAAACTCACTAAATGGGTCAAAACAAAGCCATAAAAATCAGATTCCATAAAGCTATAATCGAGCCCAAGAAAATGGGTTTAAGCAACAAAAAATATTTTTCCTTGAAGCCTCACATTTCAAAATATTATGCCAACATATGCTTCAACATAAAAATGAATTCCAACATAGATTCATTCCCGAAATGGCCAAACTTTTCCAACATTTATTCTAAGCATGAATAACAATAATAAAGGCTTTGATAATTTCTTCTAACATGCATTTCTAGAGGAACAAACTTCATTTCCAAGCTACCAATATGATGTTTCCAAGTATTCAAGAAAGAAGAATAGAGGCAGCCCATACATGCTTTCTTTTCACTGAATCTAATATGTATCCATGCCTAAACTTCAAAATAAGCTAAGTCATGCTTCCATATTTCATGCCATCTGAAATAGTGCGACATAGAGGAGAGGAGGCGACATAGAGGAGAGGAGAAGAATACCTTTTTTTTATGCAAACTTAAAGCAAAGAAAGTAAAAGGTAGATTCAAGAAAACCACTCCAATAGTAGCCCACAAATACTCCTCACGATTTCCGGTTCACGATTTGACAAATCCAAGCCTCAAGATCTTCGAATAACAAAGTGGAGGAAGATCTCCTCTCGAACAACAAAACAGAAAGAGGTAGCTTTCCTGACAGCGAAGAGGAAAGACAGAAGACATCAAGTTTCTCCAAAAGCTCCATTCTCTCAAAAACCCTCGTTTCTCTTTTTTTCCTCTGAATCTCTTCTCTTTTTTTTTTTTTTTTTAGTGAAGTAGAAATACAGCCAAAACCAAAGACCCCTCTAATCTCACGGTAAGCTAATATCCAAAGAAACGAAAAAAAAGAAAAGCCATATGTTTGCCGCCCTAGCCAACCAATCGAGGAGGAAGGAAACGATACCATAAATGAGAAAAGTGTATAGCCTCGAGTAGGAGGAACGTCGGCCAACCCGCCTCCTCCAATTGGAGAGCCGAACGGTTGCTGTGCCACATTAAGAAGGGGAAGAGACGGGAGGGGAAAGCGTCGCCGCGTGGATCCGCCGTGGCGCTAGGGCACAGAGGGGAGCGGGAGGACG